TTAAAAAAAAAAAAAAAAAGCAGTCACAGTCTGTCCTCATTCAGCTTTTGGGACAGATAAGTGAGAAGAGGAAAGGACTGAAGCTGCAGGTACATGGGTTGTGGGTACTTGATGAGGTTGGGAGAAGGCCAACTGGTGAAAGACTCACTGTAAAGATTAAAGAAGAAAAATAATTGTCCCACCAGTGGCACTTGCCAAGGGTTGCAATAAGCCTGGATATGCAGTGAGACTGCAAAGGATTTTTACACTTTGAATATCCATTTCCAGATTTCACAGAGGACTTCTCAGGTGACCTTGAATAAGCCATTTAGGTACGTTTCTCAGTTACTTAATTAAACCATCTCTATGGAGAGAGGTGATGAGGCTTGTTAATTTACATTTGTAAAAACACTTTGAAATCTCTGGATGAAAGAATTGCTGCAGAGAGGTACAAAGGGTGAAGTAACATGCTGGGTCAAATTCTACCCTTTTATAGAAGCAGAGAGGGTGCAGCACATTTGAGGTGACTTAAGGGGTGCCTCTGCCACATTATTTTTCAAGTTAATCTTCTAAGAAAATCCCCTACTTTCAGTACATCTAATGTTTTAAATACATGTATAAGATACTAATCTGGTAATTATTTTCCTTTAACATTTTTCTCCTTAAGTCCCAGCTTTAGGAAATATTTAGGGTTTTTTACAGGGAGGTTTTCCCTCTACAACTGTTTCTTTTTTTCTTTTTTTTTAAGTTCCAAAGAGCTGAAATACAACTCCTTCTTTCATTTGTTCATTTTTAGCCTATATCAGTGATACTCAATTCTTAAGCATGACAGCCTCTGTTGCTAAGCTAATTGGGATCCAATTGGGGTCATTTCATCAATTCTAGACAGATATTTACAAGTTACAGTCAGATATTAGAGTAAGCTTAGTAAGGAGAAAAGTGAGAAAATTTCAAAGAAAGCTGCCAGGTAAGAGTTAATTATATCCATTTATATAAAAAATGATATTAATAGCTACTTAAGAAATAATAACAATAGAATAGAAAAAAATTTAGAATAAGTCTCTTTCAGCAAGATAAATAGATACTCAAAGATAAGACATTAATTGTTAAAACTGTCAAGGCAAAAGCCAAGTTTAAAAAAAAAACCAAAAACAGAAACAGGCAACCATCTTTTGCGACATGCTACACCAATTATACACTTGCGATTCTGCCCAAATGACCATAAATCTCCCATTATAGTTTCCTTTATGTCTTTTTTGACCTTATAATTCTTATTTCTTTGAGAGGAAGCAATAAACAACTTTATTACTTGCTCTCAGAAATAACAGGAAGAATTTATTTGCCTTACTGTGCCTTGCTCTTCGCTGAAGAGGGCTGAAGCTCCTTGTCCCTTTCAGTGGATCTAGACAGGACCCTTGTCCTAGGAAACTGCCTCTTCAGAAGGCTGCTCTTCTCTTCAGAAGAGCTTCGTGTTCTTTCTCCATTATATCTTTCAGAATTTTCTGTAACTGCTTTACCCTTGAAATCTCTTCTTCCTCAGCAGACAGCTGGGCCCCTTCTAGCTGCTCAGAGGCCATGCAGAGTTTAATTATTTCCAGGTCAAGTCCTGCATGCTGTCAATGAGCACACACCAGCTCATTCTTGGTTGCATCCTGGACCACATCCACAATCCCAGTTACATGAATACTGCATGTGGAGCCACAAGAGAGGTTGTCCACAAACAGCCTTGGTTCTCAGGATTTTTTCTTATCTGCTCATACATGCACTGCATGAATGGAGTGAGAACCATTGCTCTATCTCATATTTCCCCTTTTTATGCCAAAGTTTGCTTAGCTTTTGAGCTAATTATCCTAAGAGATGCCTATCATTTCACGCAGGCTGGAAAGATGAAATGCAGCCTGCCTAGGGGCTGATTTGCTAACTCTTGTCCCATTCTCTGATTCATCACCTTGACACTAGAGTATTGAACATTATGATATGATAGAAAAGGGTTGAACCATTAAATTCCTGTGGGCAAGGCATCCTAAACAGAGATTAAGGTGCTATAAAGAAAATGTTTGCTATTTCAAAATAAGTGGTTTCTTGAAGGCCACAAGGTTTTTGCTAGCTTTCGACAGGTCACCTATTTGCATCTGTTTGTCAAAGAAAGAGCCTGACAGTCTTTACTTGAAAGAAAGAAATTCAGGGTATCATCACCATCACCTAGTCAGCCAACATCAAACCTCTACTGAGCATCCACTGAGTACAAAGCATGTTACAATATACCCTAAGAAAACATCTCTTTTTCTGCAAAGAAATGATGAATCCAAACAAATAGAAACACCCATTTTTTTAGCCACTTGTCTGAGTACAATAAAAACAGACAGGTTTGGACTGTATTAAGGGAACCAGCTACATGGTCTGCAAATGGGCACATCTTTGAGTCCAGGTACTGGTTCTGTAATTGTTTTCGAACGCCATACATTTCGAAATGGCATCAAAATCCTGCAAGGCCTATTGAAAAGGAAATAAAATGTACTATTTGTTTAGAAGAACATTTTAATTTGATACTAATCAAGTAGCATTTATGTTCATGTCTGATCTGCTCACTCATTGTTCTCCCAAGGACATGCTTTGTCCCTTTTTTTTACGGCTCATCAAAAATTTTCAGGTGTGAGCGTGGTGTGGCAAGAAAGTAGGATTTTGAGACAGACACGCATTTGAGTCCACTTCCACCACTTACTGAGAGTCATCTCTCTGCAGGTAAGTGAATGAAGCTTGTTTCCCTTTTCTCATCTATAAAATGACATAATAGGCCGGGCGCGGTGGCTCAAGCCTGTAATCCCAGCACTTTGGGAGGCCGAGACGGGCGGATCATGAGGTCAGGAGATCGAGACCATCCTGGCTAACACGGTGAAACCCCGTCTCTACTAAAAAATACAAAAAGCTAGCCAGGCGAGGTGGCGGGTGCCTGTAGTCCCAGCTACTCCGGAGGCTGAGACAGGAGAATGGCGTGAACCCGGGAGGCAGAGCTTGCAGTGAGCTGAGATCCGGTCACTGCACTCCAGCCTGGGCGACAGAGCGAGACTCCGTCTCAAAAAAAAAAAAATGACATAATAGCACTGAATTCACACAGCTGTGCAAAAGAAATTAGATCAACTATAAAAACAACATACTAGCAGATAGCCTGAAAAAATAGTACGTTTTCAAGAGAAATGAGAAATTTTTGTATTCTCCTCTGTTTGAATTAAAGTGTATATATATGTCAGTGAATGAAGGACCCAGTGACTTTTAGTAGTTGTTATCTCTTCCTGTTCTGAATGTGCATATTGTGCTTAAGGTCTGTTCAAATTCCATCGCAACTGTACACAATCATGTATCATCTCTTGTGTTATGTAATGTTTTAATCACACTACACTTTGGTTATATATTTAACCACACTAAATATTGTCTCTTCAGCTGAACAAAAGATCCTTGAGCACAAAGCCTGTTAGCAACTTTTATACGTTCACTTTTTAAGGTACATTTAGAATGTTCAATTTCCATTTTTTCAATGACTAACTTGAATACCATGATAAATAATTAGTAGATAACCATACTCTATATTATACTATATATGATTATTACTATACTATACTAAATATTATTTAGTAATAATCACACATAGTACAATAATATATAGCATAATAATCTTTTGACAGCAGGAACTACAATGTATTGGTACTCACTAAAGACTTAGAATATGTAGGACATTGTCTTCATACAGATGTTCTTTTCAACTAATTTGCTATGATAGTCTTGATATTACTCATTTCAGCATTACTAGGACTTAGCATGGTGTCTTTTTGCACTTAGAAAATGGTTCATATGTTTGATGCATACAACAATAGTCTTAAATAGTACAAATGTTGGTGAAATTGAAAGAGTGGGGTATAGCTCTATGAATTAAAATGGATATACATCTTGTCCAGGGAGAAATATCCTTATAACTTACCTAAATAGCTCCAGGCAATCTAGGTCTTATTGAACTCTTCGAGCTTGATGGTACTGGTAGTCAATGCTCTGTTGACCCAGAAGTCAGTCCCAAACACTGCACCACTCATTATGATAAGCTGATTCCCCAAGAATCTACTAAGAAACTATGACTGGCCGGGCATGGTGGCTCATGTCTGTAGTCCCAGCACTTTGGGAGGCCGAGGCGGGCGGCTCACAAAGTCAGGAGATCGAGACCATCCTGGCTAACATGGTGAAACCCCATCTCTACTAAAAATACAAAAACTAGCTGGGCGTGGTGGCGAGTGCCTGCAGTCCCAGCTACTCCGGAGGCTGAGGCAGGAGAATGGCGTGAACCCGGGAGGTGGAGCTTGCAGTAAGCGGAGATCCTGCCACTGTGCTCCAGCCTGGGCGACAGTGCGAGACACCGTTTCAAAAAAAAAAAAAAAAAAAAGAAAGAAAAGAAAAGAAAAGAAAAGAAACTGTGACTAAACATCTGCTGATTAACTCCATGGGATGAGTGAGAAGAAGAGACACCATTGTTTGGAATTATTTTAGAATTTGCAAGCCTGAAACAAATGTGTCTTTCTTAGTGGTTCACTAGCTGTAAGAGTCAGTTCTTAGTTAGATTGGTCCCACCTTGTAGATAAAAGTGATTGATCTTGCCATCTTGAGCATTTACAAAAAACCTTTCTCTTACAGTTATGTGAAATTGAGATTCTTCTACTATAGTGGCGACAAGAGCGTTCTAGAATAAAAATGAGTTCTAGATTTCAATTGTTCAATATGTGCAAAGTATTGTGCTTTGGGAGATATCAACGTAAACAACGCACAAATCACTGCCCTCCAGAAACTCACCAGTTAGTAGGGATACAGATACATACATAAGTAATCCAAACATAAACTAGAAAAAGTGAGATACAGAAAAAGTATTTTGGTGATTATTACATACATATTACTTTGCAAAAGAAAAAATATATTGCCACATTATTTACCTTCCACATTCTGATTTTACAATGTTTGAGAACAAGCACAAGTACAGTACTGACCTGGTATTTAAAGTGTTAATACTATCTCCCCAAGTGACTCAATATGCTCCAGGACACTGCTTCTAGAATTGCGTTTGCCCATAAGTAGTTGGGTAACCTCAACTAGTCACTTAATTTCTCCAAATTTCCATTTTGTCATCTGTAAAAGAATCAGACATTCTCTAAGGTTTTATTTTCTCTAAAATCTGATGATTATGTCAGGATTTCTTCTTTTTAAATGCTGACAGTTTTTTATGCCCTTGGATTGTCTGAAGCAAAGTGAGGTAATTTCAGAATTACACTCGCTTTGAGCTCCCAGATACTAAAATTTTTTCAAAGTCAAAGGCACTTTGGCCTTTCACTCAATATCAAAAATTAGACAGGGAAAATGGGCTAAGCGCTTGAATAGACATTTCTCCAAAGAAGATATGCAAATGGTCAATAAGTATATAAAAAGATGTCACTTCAGAAAATGCAAATAAAAACCATAATGAAACATAATTTCACATCTACTAGGATGCATATTATTAAAAGATAAATGATAATAAGTGTTGGCGAGGATGTGGAAGAATTGGAACCTGCACACTGTTGGTAGGAATGCAAAATGGGGCAGCTGATGGAAAATGGAATGGAGGTTCCCCTAAAACTTAAATAAAGAACCACTATCTGGTCAAAAAATCCCACTTCTAGATATTGTCCAAAATAATTGAAATCAATTCAATTTGAGGCTCTCAACAAGATACCTGCACTCTTATGTTTATTGCAGCACTATACACAATAGCCAAGATGTGAAAACAATCTAAATGTCCACTGACAGATAAACGCATAAAGAAGATGTAGTAAACACAAACATGTAATGAAACGCTATTCAGCCTTAAAAAATAAGGAAATTCTATACCATTAAACAACATAGATGAACATTGAGGACACTATGCCACATGAAATAAGACAGTCACAGAAAGATAAATACTGAGCTGGGCACGGTGGCTCATGCCTGTCATCCCAGCACCTTAGGGGACGAACGTGGGAGGATCATTTGACATTAGGAGTTCAAGACCAGCCTGGACAATATAGTGAGACCCCCATCCCTACAAAAATTTTAAAAAATAGCCAGGCATGGTGGTGCACACCTGTGGTCCCAGCTACTTCAGAGGTTGAAGTGGGAAGATCGCATGAATCCAGGAGGCAGAGGCTGCAGCGAGCTGTGATTACACCACTGCACTCCAGCCTGGGTGACAGAGTGATTGAAAAAAAGAAAGACAAATATTGCATGCTTCCACTTATATGAGGTATCTAAAACAGTCAAGGTCATAGAATCAAGGAGTGGAATGGCGATTGCCAGAGGCTGTGGGAGGGGTAATTAAAAGTTATAAACCAATGAACATAAAGTTTCACTCAAATAAGATGAGTAAGCCCTAGAGATCGTCTGCAACAACAATGTAAACTTAAAACTATGTTAAGAGTGTAGATCTCATCTTAAGTGTTTTTAGCATTTTTTAAGGGCATGTAAGTCAACAAAATACAGCATATTTCAAAAAGGGAAGAAGAAGGTCTTCTGGTTGGGTGATCAGCTTAGTCTCAAATGCAAGGAAAGCGTTTCCCAGATAATGCAATGAGAGTGAGAATATGCATTTGCCAACCAGATTAGTTTTCTCCAAAGACCTATCCGGGCCTTAGATACACGGGTCAGGAGACAACAAATTGTTACCCTAGAGACATTCATAATCAGCTGCCTACTTCTTTCCCAAGTCCCATGCAGGAATCAACATGACAGTGATTTAGTAAAAATATAGCTGACAACAACCTTTTATTTTTTACCTCTGGAAAAATATCTAAAAACTTTTATATGAAAAACACATTTTTTAAAGTTCTAAGTATAAAACATGGTTTCAGATTTTATTAGAACTTTATTTGGTCTAGGTATATGTATTTTTTCTCTCTTTTGGAGGCATTTATTCCTTCAGGGTTAAGTACCTTCAATCAAAACTTCAATTTATAATAAAAGACATACTTCAGTAGAGGAAAAAATCCCTGTTTTAAGTCTCTCTCCACCAAACAGGTATAACATCTTTAGAAAACTACACAAAGGTGCCCAAAATGATCTTCTTCTTCTTTAAATGATTCCATTATTTTCTATAGCCACAGGTCTGCAAAAAGTTTATTTCTGAACCCCCCAAAAAGGGGGATTCAAGTAGTAAAGTTATACAAAGCTAGTCCTTATATTTGAAGAAGGAATACATTTGATAAATAAGCAATCAGCTTGGTGAGAAAAAATGAATAAAGTATCTGCTTTGTGCTAGTAACAATTGTTGGCATCATGAAGATACAAAAACACAGGAAATATCATAGCCTGTGATAAGTTTATGAGGTCTCAATTTTTACACACATTTAAGAATTTTCATAATAGAAGATGTTTTATGGAAGCCCAGATTCCAACATTACATGACTAGAAGAAAAGTGGTACATGGGATATCTATCTGTAATATATAATTACGCACTATATAAATATGTAATTCAGGTAGATGTGTATCTACCTACAAGTGGTGGGCTAGGAGGAGACAACATAGTGGCCTAGGGATAAATATGACAATGAAAGGGGCTTCATTTGGGAGAAGCATAAAATATTCTAAATGTAGTTGGTGATCCCTTCCCAAATGGATATATCTAAATTATAATATTCTTAACACTACTCACTTTATTAAGAGAATCAGAAATGGCTCCAAGCAGGCCTGGCTTCAAACAACAGGTCATGGAAATCCAAAAGAGTTACTGATTTTAAAGCAATCAATTCATGAAAAGGGAAAAGAGACAAAGGGGAGAAGGAGTTAAAACAAAACAAGATGAAAGAGAAAAAAAACACAACAACCCTGCTCTAGGCTGTGATGTGATAGAGCCAGGCTCTAATTACTGAGTTAAAGATAATTAGAGAGGTGAAACTTTCCTGACACCAGTGTCCATCCCAAGACTTTTCTGATGTACATAACCTAGTTGCACAGTTGTTTCCAGCAAAATGTTCCATTAAGTTTTCTGACATGAGCCTCATTATCTTCCTGAAATCCAACTAACTCAGTGGAATGATTCTTAGTGATCCGGTTGAGCCCTTACTGGAAAAAAGTTCACCTGTGAGACTACAGATGCCAATTGTCACCCTAGCCTGTACTATTCAAAGGCGAACAGTTTTGGCTCTTTGAATTTTTCTAGGGAAGTGACATTTCCATTTATTATTCATCTACTTTGAGTTCTAATGAAAAGTGCTAAGGCCACCTGCCAAATGTTTGCACTGAAAGAAAAGTGACACACTGAAAATTAATAATGGCAGATTGAAATATTTGTGGATTTCCTGAAAAGGAAAAAATAATAAAGGTTAACTCTGCTTTGGCTTTAGATAGCCCCAGACATGGGGCTATTTAGTAAGTACTATTTACTCAGTCTTAAACTCATCCAAATAAATGAACACTTGGATTTTATCGTTGGTCAAAGGGTAAACAGTTTCAGTTATGTTGGGTGAATCAGTTCTTGAGATCTAATATACAGCATGCTGACTATAGTTAATAATACCATATTGTATACCTGAAATTTGCTAAGAGATCTGTAATGTTCTCACCATATACAAACACATAAAATATTTTATAATCACTATGTAAAGTGAGGAATATGTTAATTAGCTTGATTGTGATAATCATTTCACAATATAAATATATCAAACCATCACATTGCGCACCTTAAATATACACAATTTTTATTTGTTAATTATACTTTAATAAAGATGTGGGAAAAAGAAGGAAAGATGATAAATGGGATGGTTGTCTTTTTTACATTTTAAACATTAATTAATGATAGTATTTTTCTAAAGACTTCTTTATATGCTGAAGATGTTCAACTTATGAAAAACTAATGGACACCTAACTTTTCAAGAATAGATTTACTACATATACTATATCGATTCATCATGAACTATAAGCTGCCATTGGCATGCCTGTATATATAAATTGCATCTGAACCTTCCACTTTGCATAGAAATTCTTATGGTTACCTCCAGTCAGAAGATGACTGCAAAAATGGTCAGGAAACTCCTGAAGAAAAGCCAGATCTTTGGAGACTGGAGAGTAGATTTAAAATGTCACTATTTTTTGCTGCCCTGCTCAAAATTCATCAGCATGTCCATTTTAGTTATATAATAGCATTGAAAGGGTTGTCTGTTGTTTCTGTTACTTTTAAATCAACTATTTAGTAATGTTCAAATAATAATAATGGTTACTATTGATTTAATGCTTTGCCAAGCTTTCAGCTACTAATGAACATGTAATATCTCATAATGCTCAAAATAAGCCTATGATGTTTATAATCTTACTATAAATGAGGAAACCGAGGCAGAGATTACATAATTTGCCCAAAGTTATGTAGCAGTGAACAATGGAGCTGAGTGAGAACCCAGGTACTTTGCCTCAAGAACTCCCTTTTAAAAACACATCACCCTCTACTACTTTTCCATATCTGTTAAATGCAGACTTTTTAGCTTGATAAGCTAAAATTCTTCACAAAAGCTTAATTCTTCAAGTTTCACCTTAACTGATCCTACCAGGTTTACCTCTTACATTTCGAGGCTTCTCTACACAGATTCCGTACTCTGGCCAAACTGAGACTGGCCACTTCCCCATACATCCTGAACTTTCTCTCTTTTGAAATTTTACCAATAGTATTTCCTCAAAGTAAAAATGTAGCTACTTATTGAGAGCAGGAGACTAGATAACAATACCATTTTAAAACATATATACATATATATAATAATTGTAAAGGTTGGCATTTATTGTTCAATTACCACATGCTAAAAACTGTGTTAATCCACTTACATAAATATATCATGAATGCAATAATGCATAATAATACATATAGATATTGTTAGCCCCACATTACAAAGTGAAACTAAGCCTTAGCAAGGTTAAATATCTTATCCCAAAAACCCTGACTAATAAGTGGTAGAGTCACAATTTGAACCCAAGTATGTCTGACTCCAAAAAGTAAGCCTTTAACCATACACTCTAGGCTGCATCTATTCTAAATTCTAATTTGCACTATAGTTATTTAAGAGCAAATACAAATTTCCCACTAAACTGTATACTTCTTGGAACAAAGGCTAGATTCTGTATTTCTGTATCCCCCACAGTTCTGAGAAAAACGTTTCTGGAAGTGTAGCAAGTAAAGCAAAGAATTCTCATGTAAAATGTCAATTTTGTGACATCTGGGCTACAGATACTCTGGGAGGACCCCACTTCCCTCCCCATACTCATCTCCAAGCACCACTTCTGTTAAAATGTGCATTATTTTGGACCATGGTTAGGTTAACACAGAAGCAGATGATTGCAGAAAGAGCTAGAGTGTCTTGGGTCCCCTTCTGTGTAGCTCTGCCAGAAATAACCCAATGTGAAAATGGTTCACAATTCCTCACCTTACAATGAGGACTGTAAAAAATGCCGTGGTTCGTGGAATGTATGAGAACCAACCATTAGTTCAGGCTTCTCAGAGATTCTAAAATTTGGTAAAAATTTGAAAACAGGTATATTTCCTGGGAGATTTCTTATATTCCCTGTTACACTGCCAGCAGCCGGAGTCTGAGAAATATGTATCTAAATTAAAGAAAGTTATTTAAATATACTAGAGTCAGAAGATATTAATAAATCTGATTTGGTTCTAAAAGTGGGCAAAGACTTGAGTCAGCAAAATTTGAGACCACTTCTAATTTTATCTGACCCATTTAGTTCAATGCTGCTCCTTCTGACAGTATCAGTGCCTGTGATATCATAGAGACCTAGCATGTTATTTGGAAAGAACATCAGACTCAAAGTCATGGGACATAGGTTCAAAGTCAGGCTCTGTCATTTGAAATCAGAATAACCTTGAGAAACTTATCTGGTTCTTGTAAGCTTCATTTTCATATGTATAATGTGGATAGCCTGACCTATTGATCTTGTATTGTTAATACAAAAATCCGCATGAAATACTTTGCAATCTGTATGTTCTACAACA